AGAAAGATCCCGGGTGTCCTCAGCGGGACGCCAACCGGCGACCTTCTTGCTGTGAGGCAACGATGCTAACCACCGAATCACCTTGCAGCCCTCTGTTCTATTCTATTCTATCTTCTTTCGTATTTAATGAACATACTAGCAGCCGGCTTGTTTGAAGTACTGCAGGTACACATCAAGTAAAGTTCAAATTTATTCATTTTAAACTCAATTATGTTCAAAATCACATCTGGAATGCCGTGTAATATTTGACCTTAAATCTGACTGACTCGTGTACCTTGAAATATATTAGTTCTTTCCAGAACCAAAAGCTTTATTGCAGTGAAAGGATGATAAATTTCCAACATACTTCTCAATAGTTCATGGTCCTCTCTTATAGTCGGTTGAACTCTGACCATGTGAGCTTAACAAACAGCTTCCCTTCGCTGTGAGTGTGTTCTGTCCTCTTTAAGTGTCATGGAATGAATTCCATAATAGTTTGGGGTTTGTTCTGAAAGCATTTACTTTTCTTTCAGAGGGATTTGAAGCATCAGTGAGACCCAAACTGCAGTAGATGGCACGGGCAGGTACGTCCAGGTGAACCGTGTCCCCTCCATCCGGTTTAATGTGTAAATAAGTGATTACATTTCAGACTGTACTGCATTATAAAATTACATTGTTTGCCAAAATAGAAGTTAAATGAAATGGTGATTTTGCTTTCTTGAGGGATAAGGATTTATTCGTTTAGAGTAATTGATTAATTGGTAAAATTCTTGATCTATTAATCACATGTAAAAATTAGGGAGTCGTTGGCTTGCCTTGCTCGGCGCCCAGCATTGTGTAGGCGGCCTCCCTCTGTTCTCCTGGTCGTCTCCTTCCATTTGTAATGTGTCTTTAGCTAGCAGCTTCCAGAGGATCTATAGGGGCAGAAGGAGAAGTTAAACCTTCTTCATGACTAGCAGGTTGTGATTTACATGCATGTAATTCAGCCTGTGCTGGTGTGACTGCCAACTGAACTTCTTGTTTTCTAGCATGTTGAGTTGTAGCTTCATCAGCCAACAGCTGCTTTGGGGGAAGGACGACTGCAAGTAGAATCTACCAAAAAGAGAACTTAAATCGTAGGTCACGTATATGTCGAGTCTCCACAAAATAAAACTCCTGCACAATTAAGCTGCATTCTCATTTACCTTTTTTGTTTTGATATAAACGTAATTTGTCACACCAAAGCCTGCACTTTCACCCAGAAGACTCTTGTTTGCATCATGTGATGGACAAACGAGACCATTAGTCTTACATTTTGTTCTCAATCGCTTTCTGGTTGGGTTTAGGCACCTTAACTATGTGGTTGGAAAAAATATCATGGCTCAAAATATGACCTTTTCTCTACACATCTGACACTCAGAATATGTTATCAAGAAACTAAACTGCAGGATTGTAACAGATTTATCATTCAGTATCAGGTCTACTTCATTTGATGACCTCCAGTTGTCTTCATGTAAGCCAAAAGTTTAAATATTCACATGTTATCTAAGATTTAACTGTACAATGTCTGCTTGTTAGGAACCAATGTTTGAGTCAAAAACGTGATTGAGCATTAGCAGACACAGCAGGATCGTACCATCCTAAAGCTGCATAATGATTTATCTGCATGTACGAGGGAGGATCAAGCTATATGCATGAAATTCGCTCAATTACTGGAGCTATTATTTAATCCGCGCTCTAGCTGCTGTAATTACCACAGTGTGGCTTCCGCTCCTCTGGATCACAACACCATTTGGAGAAAAAAAAATAAAAAGTCAGCGGTATAGCCTACTGTAGCAGCTGTACGGCAGCTGGTGCTCACCACAGGCTGCTGTGTGTCTGTGGCGCTCAACAACTGTGTTAATAATGAAAACGACAACATTACAATAAAACAAATGGCAAACTAGACAAACAATGAAATCAATTTTTAAAAAAAATACAGATAAGATAAACTCATCAAGTCAATGTTCTTCATCAAGAAAGACAATGACAGACATGATAAAAGTGACCTAACACGTATATACATTGGGGTTAAGACTAGTGATGCACGATAGTAGAATCTCTGGCCGATACCGATATCCGACATGAAGATTTCTGATATCGCCGATAACTGATGTTAGTGATGTCGATATTCGATTTTTGTTCACATCGAAAAATGAGTATAAATAAGCACTGTGAGAAAACTACTCAACAGAAGTCCAAACTAGACCACATAGTCTTCTTTATTACACAACAAAAGTAAAACATATTAGCAGCAACGAATGTGAAATGTGTGATTCCGTCTTTTTTTTTCTTTTTCAAGTTTATGTCCAGAAATCCAGATTATTCCAGCATCACTGTACCTACAGTCGTCCTCAGATGTTTTCATACCCTGCCATTAAAGAAGTGATGCACGATATTAACATTTCTGGCCGATACCGATATTAAGAATTCTGATATCGCAGATAACTGATGTCACCGATGTCGATATTCAATTTTTGTTCACACCGAAAAATGAGTATAAGTAAGCACTGTGAGAAAACTATTCAACAGAAGCCCAAATTAAACCACATAGTCTTCTTTATTAGGTAACAAAAGTAAAACATACTTAAACATATTTAACGTTAAGGACCATTTAAGTAAAAACTCCCGTGAAACAGCAGCAATAGAGACACTGATGTTAGACAATCATCGGCTAAATTTGTTCATCGGACTGATACTGATATATGAGAAAAACCACTAATATCGGCCGATACTGATGTGGTCGCCGATATATCGTGCGTCCCTAGTTAAGACCCTAGAGTGGCATTTTTGGCTGATTAATTTACATATTACGTATTAAAAGCCTACATAAATGATATAGAACACTACTGTACCTGACTGTAGCACATATTAAGGCCTTACACTGTTGATTGTGAACAGTTTTCTGTTGGTAAACCCATAATGCCTTCACTGAATTACAATACCAGGTTTTCCATTTCTGATCTGGTGTGTAGTAAATGCTCAGGAGCGCTTTCATTTCGACCGGCTTTGTTTACAGCACTGTTTGGTTCTGAGCACACATAACAGTGTTTCAGGGCGATTGTTTTATTTTGCGAGACGGGTCGGGGGTTTGTGATTGTCGGATGGAAGCAGAGTTTGGAGAAAAGGGGAGAAGGTTTCGAGCTATTGTGAGGAACTGTAAGCGTTCTTTGATTACAGGAATTAGTTTAATTGTGTGACCTTTTTTAAACCCTCGAATTGTAAGGAAATGCCAGCTTTGTGTTTCCTGTGCGTATACTGAACAACTGAAAGGCTCCACTGCACTCATTCCGAAGCTCAGTTGAAAGCTTTCAAAAGGACACATAATGAGACTAATGGTATTCTGATTTTGCCCATTTTGTGCTGTCATCTGTGTTCTTTCAGCAGGAGAGCCCAGTGATGGACCCAGTCATGTGAGAGTGACCTCTGGTCCGCACGGATTCAGGAAACACTTAATGAGCAGAAAATTACTTTTTTTTTTTTTTTTCCATTTCGATTTTAATGGCCACCTTGATGGATTAGCCATTAAAACATTAATTCCACTGAATTTGAATGAGCTGACTTGTAGCATATTTTCAAACACTTTCAAGATAAGAATGAGAAAATCACAAATGGGGAGAAGCTGCTCAGAGGACTCCGCTCTGCGCAGCCTGTGCGTAAAAGCGCAAACAGATTAAGAGTAGTGGGGCGATGTGTGTGTGTGTGTGTGTGTGTGTGTGTGTGTGTCTGAGAGAGAGAGAGAGAGAGAGAGAGAGAGAGAGAGAGCGAGAGCGATGCACTTTTCTCCACATTCAAAGTTTTCCACCTCCGTCTCTCTCATCCACCGAGAATCGCGCAGCTGCAGCAGAAGCGCGCTCCGCCACTGATCTCATAGCGAAGCTCCCACTCCACGCACGCAGGGATCTTCTCCTCCACTTTAATCCACTGGTCATAAGTGGGTTTTCTTTCTTTCTTTTGTTTTTTACTGCTTTGTTTCTCTCCCTGCTGCACCATGAGCGCGGAATGCAGTAACTACTACAGCGCAGACGGGCTGTTCGTGGACGCGTTTTCTTGCCCCAAACCTGGAAATGCTGCCGCTGCGGTCTACTGCTGTGGATTTAATGATGTCAAGTACTGCTGTGACGATCCCAACAGCTTTTTCCCGTATGATTACGGGTACATGTGGTGGCTGAGGTGAGTGCAGCTTCCATCTCATTTGGTAATTTTGTGTTTAATCATTGCTCATTAGAAATAAGTAATTTGAAGAGTAAAGTGTGCAATCAGGCTCCTACAATCAGTAGATCAACCACTTAACGAGTACCTAAACGTTTAATTGTTATTTTTACTGCTTTACAACCACTAAAAATGGAACTTACTTGTAGATTTTACTGCCTGATCACTGAATCTGTTAGAAAGCTGCTGACTTCTGCTGCAGGTTTGTGTCCTCCTCCTCCTCCTCCTCCTCACTATAACAAGACAGCAAGTACATTTACAGCACGTGATCCAATTCCTTTGTGGATGGAAATCAATTGTTTGCATTTGCTTTTCATATTTTTTTCCCATGCAATATGTCCCCTACTGCTCTTCGCTCCACCATAACTCTCCTCTATTGATCAGTTGATCCATTGTTCATTATTCCCATCCTCCCCTCTCCTCAGTATCGGCGCTCTGGTTGGTCTGTCCATCGCGGCGGTCGTCCTCCTCGCCTTCCTCATCACCGTATGTGTCCTCTGCTACCTCTTCATTGCCACCAAACCCAGTCGTCTTGACAACGGCCTACCCCTAAGAGCTCCAGGTTAGTGTTTCTCTGAATTAAACTCTCAGCAGCCCATTTATTGAATGAGTCTCTTAACCATGAGCATCTTTCACCAAGTTGGACGCAGTTTGCAGATCTTATCGACTCTTTTTTTTTTTTTGATAAAACTCTGAACAAATTCTCACTCAATGGCTCAAAATTGATTGCACTTGTTGAAACCAGTATGAGACAGTTCAGTGGTTGAGTTCGGCACATGTTGTTGAAGGTTGGCAGTGGGTAGAACCAATCCAAGCCGTATAACACCCGACATCTTCTCACATTTCTGAGTGGTCTTCAGGATGTCTTGTTTGGGTGCTAGCATCATGAGCAGCCATCCTATCTTTGTCATAGTTTGGTGCTGTCCCACATAGGGCGCGGTTTAACGTCAACCAGAAATCCATGAATGATCACCTTCTACAAACAATCCCTTCCTCTACCCAACCAAGCTGCAAAGTCTATGACACACAACCCTATACCAGGGGAAATCTCCTCCATGCTGTGAAATTGGCCAGTGATGACATTATGTGTGTAGTCTTGCCAAGGCTGGATCTGGCCTTTTCCCTTGTTGCCTGACTATGGAGAACATTGGCTGCAGTGTAGATAAAGTCCTCTGCCTTGAACCAGAACAAAGACTCGATGCCGAGGCAGAATGAATGACGTGAATGTAATTTTGCGGTTCCATTTACGATGCAGCTTCCACTACAGGTTTTGTTTTGTTTGTGAGCAGAATACATTTAACTGCGAATAGTTTTCTGTTGGAAAACCCATAATGCACTCACTGAATTACAACACTGGGTTTTTCCATTTCTGATGCCGTTTGTCATGAACGCTCAGGAGCGCTTTAATTTTGACTGATTTTGTTTATGCATCTGACAGCATTGTTTGCTTCCGAGGACAGATAATAGTGTTTTAAGGTGAGTGATTTTACAAGAAGGTTGTGAATGTTGTATGAAAGCAGGCTTTTGATAAAAGGGAAACTGTAAGTGTGCTTTGATTACAGGAATTAGTTTAATTGTGTGCCATTTTTAAAGCCCTCAATTTATAAGAAAATGCCAGCTTTGTGTTTTCTATGCATATATTGAACACATCAAAACTGAAAGGCTCCACTGCACTCATTCAAAAAGCTTTTTTCACAGTTGAAAGCTTTCAAAAAAGACCTCATAATGAGAGTAATGGTAGTTTGAGTGGTGATTTTTAAAAATGTGCTGTCATCTGTGTTCTGTCAGCAGGAGATCCCAGTGAGGGACCCAGTCATGTGAGAGTGACCTCTGGTCCGCAGGGATTCAGAAAACACTTAATGAGCAGGAAACTGGACTGTGCTAATCAGCCGCCGGAACCGGATCGCCTTTTCCAGAAGTGTTTCACGGCTACGGTCACTGGTGTGAAAGTGGAAAGTCCCTCATAAGCCAAAAAGTAACAGCCGGCTTAAAAATACAACCAGCGGTGCACAAGTCAAAAGGCCAAGTGAGCAGCCTGAGCTTGAAGTGGGCCAACACGAGTAGGAGGAGAGTGACGGTAACTGACACCACGTGCGACGGAGTCATGGCGATTGAGTGGAATGAACAATCCTAACGAGTGGTGACCGCTGCAGAGCGCTATGACAAAGCATGCATGATGAATTCTCTGAAACATCTGGCCCTGATGAGTTTGAGTGATGAGCTGCCTCCTCCTGAGTGGAAAGTAATCATCCTCCATTCTCTGGGAAGTGACTGCATATAACTGGCTTACTTAAAGCCAATAAGGACAATTGCTATTCCGGTTTACATTCACAATGTACAGTTTTATGTGCATGAAGCTACGATGATGAAGATGTAGCGTACGGCGAGAAAAAGACCAAAACAACCAGAGTCTGTGCAGCAAGCACGTAAAGTCAGGATGCAACCCCACAAAGCTGAGTGCTGTTGATTTATAGCATAGATCTGCTACTACTCAGGGACTCAGGGATTTATGAAGACAACCTACAACGTGTTGAGACTGTAGTAAAAATGAACAAAACCAAGCTAAACATCACCATCAGTTGTTTGTTAAGATGCCTATAATAAATTCTTACATTGTACTGACAAGCAACCTCCTGGAAACGTCTATGTGATGACTGGAGGCTGGGGTGGATGGTAGGGTATGTCTAACTCTCACACTAGAGACTGTGATTTGTATTGTGTCTCCTAGCAACAGTCAACAATGGCATCTGTCACCACCATGTTTCCACAAACTATCACCACAAACTAAACCAATCTCCTCTGAACTGAAGGATCCAATAAGGTAATTGCTGTGGTGGTCAGGGGCAATGTAAAGTTGTGATGACAAAACTATATACCGGAGTGTATATTCCTAAGTGCTTCAGGAGAAAGCAACCGGACTTCTCTGATTGGTTCTTGAATACGTTTAATTTCTCATCCAGTGCAGCCAAGAGCACACAGACCTGTACATAGGGAAGATGAACCAACCACTCAACAAGCCCATGGCAGAACAAGAAGCTCTTTGGGATAACACTCAGCAGTCCACCTGCATCTGACAGATAAGGGACACTACTTTAGTTTGAGAGAGGAAGGATGAAGTCATCTGTTTCAAACTGGACCAGCCACCTCTTTCCAGGGAGGAAGTCTACGGCACCACTTATCAACCTCTTATTATGCAGTCCTGAGATCTCTATCCTGAAAATGTTTTCAATTTTTTGTCATTCCTGACTGTGCAGTTTCACAGTCATTTACTCCTTAAGGCATGTGAGTCTTTAGGGTGACGATCCATCAGTCAGAACTGAAGAAGCCTCTTGGATGAGAGGTGAAATGTCTTCAAGACCCAAAAAATGAAGTCCATTTGCTCTCTGCTAAAGCTCCACTCAAGACCTGGATGACTGAGAATCTACACAGACACCAGAGACAACATCATTTCATGTTACTCGTTTGCTGATAGCCTGTTGATTAAGCAATGAAGGAAACAGAATTTTGTTTTGAAACATACATCATTTGTGACCTGTGATGTGGTGGGAAAGGTGGCTAGTTTGACATTCTTGTTCTGTGGGGGACGAGTTAGCATCAGACTCAAAATTAAGATTAATTTTTGGTTGTTCTCTTTTGGTTTTTACTTGCATTTGGATTAGGTTCAGGAAAATATCAAGTTTTGTTAGAAACTTCTACACATTTAAAGCTTGGTAGGGGTAGGCACCAAAATTACTTGGGTGGGGTTGATAAAATGTCATAGTTTGGGTTAAAATATGACCCTTTCACTCCTGAAGGTTCTCCTCCATTTTCTGAGTTACCAGGATGACATGTCCAGCTCAGGCTACTGTATGATTGGTCGGCTAAAAGTAGTGACAGTGAGGTAGCCAAATACATTACAAAGGTGCTGGAATTAGAAACGTATTTGTGATACGTTACAAGCACTACGTTTAATGTTGTGAAAGGGTGTATTTTAACTCAAATCATGATCTTTTCCTAAACCTAGCCAAGTAGTTTTGTTGCCTATATAATATTGAGTGAAACCAAAAGTAAACAGCAAGTAAAAGCAAAATCTAAAATTAATCCAAGTGTAAAAATAACGCAATACAAACCTGGATAAAAGACTTAGGCCAACACCCCTTCGACGTACCTACCCACCCTATCTGTGTTGCGCTATTAAATTGGAGAAATCCTCATATGTCTGTCAGTGACAACTATTGATGTGAGTGGAATCATCACCAAAGGACACCTTATGTATCTCAGACACAATGTAGTTAGAAAGCCGCCATTCCTGCCATGCATCTCACATGACATTCTCCAAGTAGCCACCTACACACTAAAAACGATTAGCTTAGATTAAGATTTGGTTTGTGCGGTAAGCCAGTCTTGCTTGCTTCTTTTATACCTCTTCTCCACCAAACTGGTTCATCCTACATCCACCCAACCGGTCGAGGCAGATGGCCGTCCCTCCCTGAGCCTGGTTCTGTCTGAGGTTTTTTTTTCCCCCAGTACGTCAGGGACTGGGCGCGGGGTTATCGTGTCCACCGAGACGGATGAATGAATGGGACACACAAGCGATGATTTGTGTCGTTTTTCACCAGGACGTCTCTGGTCTGGTCGCAGATGTATTGGAATGAGTCCCGGGACACATGGAAGTTCTGCACAAACTGTTGCTCGATGAAATCCGGTACAACTGTGTCCCGCCAGCAGCACTACAGTGGTGGAAAACAGGACTTTTATAACTTCGGTGTACTGCGGTATTTACGCTTAGAAATGCGATCTTCTTGGGACTCTGTTTCATCTTGGACAAATCTGACATCAGAATGCCCTAGTTTACTCTTTTTAAAGTCACTTTTGGTCGCACACCAGTCTGAGCACCGCGGCCACCAACAGCAGCTACCAGAGCCTGCTATGTGGGGCGTTCGGGGAACACTGGTAAATTGTAGCATCTGTCGATAAGAAAATGTTCAGCAAGTCATATGTTTTGCCTGTTACAAGGTGAAAAAATTGGTTGCACTGATAAAAACAAGTTAGTCTGGAGTCCTGTGTGAACTTCCGTGTGGCGCGAGCGTTGTTTGATAAACGGCTATGTATGCAGTGACGTATGGTGTGGCTCTAACTTGGCTCCATGCCAATGGAAAAGCAACCAGCTCTTTGATTGGAACCAACTAAGCACTGGCCCTAGCACCAGCATGGAACTAGCACCTGGTTCTTCTTTGTGGGAAAGGGGTCAGAGACACATTAGAAACAGTGTTTTTTATGCCCAGAAAATGCGAACTGGTTGGAAAAGTCATTTACTTACTGGATGTAGAATGTAGTTAGAAGGCCGTCATTCCTGCCATGCATCTCACATGACATTCTCCAAGCAGCTACCTACACACTAAAAACGGCTAGTTTAGATTAGGATTTGGTTTGTGCTGTAAGACAGTCTTGCTTGCTTCTTTTCGAGAATTAACCATTTTAGTGGGTGCTCACCTTCCTGTGTGCAAATGTTCCACCACACTATTTTGAAGGGGCACCATTGCTGCAACCTGGGCTGAGCGCCGCCCAAGACGAATGTGGTTAGTTGTAAGAAATACAAACAAGTCAGGAGGTTTTACACCCTTTAAACGCAGATAGCTCTGACTTTGCCGAACTGTGCCATAATTACACTTTGCCGTGACAGTGCCCTCTAGCGGTCATGGTAATTATGATAGGAGCAAAGAAGCCCTTGTAAGGAGGAGGTCAGGGTGGATGGATGGGTGGCCGCTGTTTATTTCACATTTCAAAGTTGTGCTTAACTTTTTCCTTTAACCACAACCATTCCACAACCTCAACCGTGTGCTGCCTGTTGTATCAGTGACAATGGTAGTTATTGTGCCTAAGCGTAACTAAACAGAGGTGAAGAATATCTGCAGTGAAAGATGTACGTTTTTCAGGACAAACACAAAGCTTTCTGATCTCTGTGCCATTCGAGTCTTTGTTCAAAGATTTCACAATAACCAACAACTGCATCTATTCTACTTATAGGATCAATACAATGAGATCGAAGTTATAGATCACACTTCTTTTGCCAAATACAGTATACAATATATAGCATACTGTGCGTTTTAATCAGGGTTATTTCCTTTCAAAGTACATAGCACAGCAAACTGCAGCACACGTTTTGTCCTAACTGTTGTCTGAAGAGTTCTTGCGTTCTTGTGTTAGCGTACATAAGACTGCTGCATTTCTGTGGACCCACTAACACACTTTACTCTAAATCTACTGGATGGTCAATTTCAAGTGCCCTTCTTTTTTGTAACTCTGATTCGTAGCATAAATATTTCATGAAAAATGTCTCATATGTGTGGTTTAATTTTGCTTCTTTTTTTTTTTACTTGCTTTATGTTCCTCTGCTGACAGTCTGTTATTTTCTCAATTCTAATGTGCTGCAAAGTCCAACAGAACGGGCCTCGTTTAGTGGTTTGTTTTCTGTACAAATTATCTCGTGACCTTTTGCAAACAATGGACTGCTGATTACTGAAAAGTTTGGAGGCAGAAAGTAGCCCGGTGATGCTCATGTTCCACTTCATTATGTGTATAAATGCAAAACATGAGCTCCATGTGCAGTGCAAAAAAACTGAAAGGGGAAAACGGGATGGACAGTCCAATAACGTCTGTATGTTTGATCGCTTTTCAAATGCATTCCATGAATGTACACAGCGGTTTATCCATGCGATCCTTGAAAGAGCATCAATAAAATCAAAATCAAAGGATACCGCCTGATTATTATGCAGTGTTGCTGCTACTTCGACGGCACAGATGTCATGTTGCGCGAAAGCAACAAACAAGGTATGGCTGACATCATGTATGTATCAGGATTTCCATGCACGCCCACGCAGACACACAGAAACCATCTGCAAACGAATTCAACACAAACAGTGAGAACGCCAGCAAATATTTTAACTGCACTGATTCATCTCGTTCTGCGTGTTTTTATTCGATCGGT